GTCTATCTATATAGGCTCGTTGACACTTATAAATGGTTATTCAAATCGAGAAGGAAATATTATAGTGAGGCAGAATGGAACCTGGGGTTACGTATGTAATGAAATCTGGACTCAAGAAAACGCGAACGTTGCTTGTAAACAGCTAGGGTATACGGCCTCCGAATCGATTGGTTCTGTTCCGGTTTTTGAGAAATTAACAGGCCTTTACTACCCGGTGATTATGAATGATATCAATTGTGATGGCACAGAAACGAGGCTTGATCAGTGCGCATGGTCAGAGGCGACGAATCACAGTTGTCATCCAGTTTCCTTACGTTGCAAAAGTAAGTTGACAAGATGATCTACATTTTATTATAGGCTGTGTTGGAATTTTCAGCAAGACGTTGGTTGGACCAATAAGCAACTGTATCATGTAGATAGAAATAGTTTTACGTTTTTAATTGTATAAGCTCAGTAGTGTATCTAACGAGGGTGGGCGGGGACACGAGCGTACATACCCTATAGAAAAAAAATTATCAGGTAAAAAATGTTTTATTATTATATATACTTTATTCCAAAATACAAATAAATTTGTTTCTTGATAAGTTACAGCTATAGAGTTTGACTTAATTTGTTTTTTTAAAGCAAAGCAACGTTTTAACTTTGAATATTTTCTAGGATAAAATAGATATAAAATACTTCTTATATAAAACTATATTCTGTAACAGACCCTCGACCCATCATGAAATTCCATTATAATTTTTTTTAGCTAGTGATCTTAATCTGTACAAGTCATCTAACGTATTAAATTTAAGCCCTTTAGAATCAATATCTTTCTTTTTAATTGTAACAATAAAGTAAATTTTGAAAGGCCTTTGTATTTAATAGCAAAAGCCAAGGAACTAAATCATGATAATTCGTTCGAAATTAGTTTTGGTTAATATGTAACAGAGATGTCACTGTTGATGAACTATTAAGGTGGGGAGGGGGATAAAGTTTGTTTTGACCACCTCAAATCAACCTTTGAACCGAGTTGATTATTAGCCTATATTTGTATGTAGGCGATGTACGATTTAGAGAAATTGAAAACGAAAGCCACCGATTGCTGGAAATATACTGGAATGGTAACTGGGGGTCAGTCTGCTCCACGGGATGGACTAGCTTTAATGCAGACGTGGTTTGTAGGATGCTTGGCTTCCTAGGCTCTGATTTAAACGACTGCTGTTCTTCGAATCCAATCACAAAAAACTCCATATACGTGGCGGATGTCAAATGTGATGGCAATGAAGACCATATTAAGAGTTGTCCACATGCTATTACTAGCGTGTGTGAGAGCAATAAAGTCGTCGGAGTTAAATGCATTATAGGTGAGTGAAGTTATTTATTTACATAGACATACAGTATTTCAGACAGACCTTTTATTTTATTTTAAATTAATAACCAACATTATTATTTTTAATTATTATTCAGTAGGCCCCTATTAGTTGTTATCACCAGTATTCATTGTCCAATATTTTAAAATGTTTTATGAAGACTTTAAGTACAAGTTTTAAAATATAAAAATGACTGCGAAATAAACAAATAAATAAGTTTTTGAAGGCAGGTCTTGCACCTTAAATTACCAATGATGGATGTTTACTGTTCATGGCGGTCTTTGTTACTTTTATGATTTATTTTCAGTTCTTTTTTCCCTATTTCCTCACTTTTCTGTTTATGTTAAGCGATATATAAATGTAACATTATAATAATTATTATAATTATAATTATTATTATTATTATTATTATTATTATTATTATTATTATTATTATTATTATTGATAACAAAATACAGATGAATGTGAATTTGGATGGTCTTATATTGGAGGAAAATGTGTTTATATTTCTTCACCGACGAATGACATATTTCTTAACTGGACGGATTCGATGAATTCGTGTTCTGAGGATGATGCTGAATTGATGATAATCAGAAATGAGAATGAACTAGAAGAACTTTATAATAAAATCGTGTATTTTTGGATTGGCCTAAATGATGAAGTAAGTTATTAACAACAATGTTTTAATTTTTTGTGACGTGGTTATGTTATATATAATAACAAGCCTAATACAAAACAATCTACAACACGCTTTATATAGGCCCATACAAAGAAAGAGGAAAAGAAAGAAGGGATAAATGCTCTATTCTTTAATCAACACCTCTATGACCCGACTTTTCAAAACCCATAAGTGCCCAGGCGATTATTGAATCATTGTAAGGTCGTGTGTCTACCTATCTCCGAACATGAGATAGACGTGGGAGAGGAAACTGCTGCTAAACAAAATAATCATCAATATTCCTATTTTTTCAAATGAAAAATTCAATAAACTAAACATTTAACATTTCACAGATTGAAGAAAACGTATTCCGATGGGAAGACGGTACAATCAGTACATACGATAACTGGCTTTCAGGCGAGCCTAACAATTTAGGTATGACGATATTATATTTTCATAAGTAAATGTAAGGTTTTTTTTTAAACAAAATAATGATATTTATTGCTTTCTTAAATGAAACCTCGTGGCAGTTCCTTTACTGCAAAACTGGTCAGTTCGTATTTTTAAATAAATTTAATTACCATCTCTTTGAAAGTCCGATAATTGAAACTGTTGTCTCTTCGAGTTTAAACTAATCGTTAATATTTCAAAGCAGGTAAAATACATTTCTCTCTGGGCCCTTTGTGCAAACAAAATGTAGGCCTATTGTACTTGGAACAACTACTCTATTGTCTACAAGTGAAAGATCCAAGAATCCAAAATAAAGGTCCACGATTGTTGGAACTGAGGTATGAAATGAGATGGTAACCTGAGTAGCCGGAAATGGCACACCACACTTAACATTTGAATATATTTTTCTTTTATTTTTTATTTTCGTTTAATCTTCCAAAATGTATGGGGTCCGGACTGCTTGACTCAAATTGAATCCGCCAAAAACAGTACTCTGAATTTAGCTTGTTAATTCTTGGCAGTAAATATCATTTGTACCTTATTTTTTTCTTTTCATAACTCCGGCTACATGTTCTAAAACAGGCTGTAATAGAAATTGCATAGATGCTAATTGTGTTGCCATGGAGAATAAAGAAGGATTCTGGGTTGACGAAAAATGTACTAGGAGAAATCGATTTGTTTGTAAATCAAAAGGTAACGCATATTTGTATTTTAAGAGTTCTGTTTAGTAATTATTAATCAACAACAACAACAACAACAGCAGCAGCAGCAACAGCAACAACAAAAACAACAACAGCAACAATAACAACAATAATAATAATAATAATAATAATATTATTATTATTACTATTATTATTATTGTTATTATTATTATTTGTGTTACTATTGGTGATACTATTACTATTAATAATATTCTTATCCGTATTGTTATTATTTTTTTATTAGATATCATTATTATTCATTATATACTATTGATCATCAAGTCATATTAGTTGAATAATTCCACACTAGTGTATCATACCTGTTTATTTTCTTTCAAATTTAGATAGCATATTTAATGGCACAAGTAACTGCAAAACAAATTATAATGGTTACTGTTATATGGCGTCAAGAGTTGAGTTATCGTGGCATGATGCGAGGAAGTATTGTAACAAACGCAACGCTACACTAAGTAGTGTCAACGATTTTGAAGAAGCATTATGGCTAGTTGAATTAATGAAGCGAAGAACTGATTATTGGACTGCTGTAAATGATATTGTAAGTATCTAGTGGTACAGAGTTTAATTGTTATGATTATTTTCAGAAAATGTTTTTAGCATTTTTACACATACTGTAGAAATTTTAGACAGACACTTTCTGCCTTCTTCAGCCAACTCTTGTTAAATGATGTTTTACCGTCTGTGATCTTTAATTAGTTTACATTGCACATCAACATAGATGAATTATTATCAATGTTATGATTATTGTTTATGCTATGATATATAAACAACAGACGATGTAATTCATATGCCACAATGTATTTAAAATAGATGCTCACGAACGTTAACGACCATAGGTCTTTCTCAAGTGATACATAATACAAGGTGACTAGAATATTTAAATAATAAATTTTTTTTTGCAAAAAATATATGTTTGGAGATTTTATATGACCGGAAAGGAATGCAAGAAAAGAAAGAGGGAAGAAGGAGGAGAAGGATGGGAAAGAGAATGTTTATCCAGTCCCCGACCAAGTTACATTTTCTCGAAATTCACATTGGCGGATCTGGGGAAGGGGTTCATGGGTTCTGACCACTCCCTTAGGCAACAAATAAAAGAAAAAAAAAAAAGAATTCTAGACCTACCTTTTCAGAACCCGTGAGCTGATTTTTTTTTTTTTTTATATTGCAATAAGAAAATTAGAATTTTGAAGAACATAAATGTCATTAAAACACACTTCAAATGTCGGGAAAGCTCATTTCCCGCCATCTAGGAATAACAATTTTCCCGGGGGAGAACCCCCGGTCACCCTTTTTTTGGGGGAGGGGATTTATCGATTCATGAAAAAAAGAAACGCATGCAACTACTCATTTATACATACATAAGGCCTATCTACTGTAATAACAATGGGATAAATTTACCTGACCGTTTTCAAGAGGGGAAAACCTTGAATTTTGAAGAACTTAAATTAAAGTCGCTATAAGATACTTCAGAAGACGGGAAAGCGCATTTCTCACCATTCAGAAATCAACATTTATCCAGGGAGAACCTGAACCTAATTTTTCTCTTTGGGTTCATTGGTTCATCATAGTAATTTTCAAGAGGGGAAATCCTTTGATTCTGAAGAACTTAAAAGTAATTAAGACACCTCAGAAGTCGGAAAAGCTCATTTCCTGCCAACTATGAATCAACATTTTCTAGGGGGAGAGCCCCCGGAACACCTCTTTTATTTGGAGCTTATCGATTAATTGAAAAAAGAATACGTATGCAACTACTAAAGTCGAAAAAGGTCATTTCCCGCCATCTAGAAATTAAAGTTTTTGCCGGGGGAGGACCTCCGGATACCTTTTCGTTTTGAGAAAAATGTTGACCCCCACCCCTGCCATCCATGTGGGCTTGAGTTAGAAAAGTTTCGACGGGCCTTCGATAGCTAACTTCGTCATCGACCACCGTGGAAGGAGGTGGACGACAACGTGGACGTGTACGATTATCCCCGCTTCGTCGTGGACAGGAACGTGGACAGTTCGTGGATAGGAAGTTGCGAGGAAGACTTTTGCCTTTGGTGCTGCGCCGATTGGTACTAGGAAGGGAAGCGCACCTAGAACATTCGGCAGCCTACAAGCGAGCCGCAAACGAGTGCACGGGTTGCTTGGCCATCTCGAAACGAGCCGAACTGTACAATTACGTCCCGGACGGTGGTCAAAGTCAGCTGGAACGACTTAAACGATGCGCCGAGGAGGTTGGGGCTCGCGTCCTGTACGGAGACACGGACTTCCTGTTCGTCGGCAGCGTCGATGCTGGTGACAAGAGTGAGTTAGAACGCCGGTTTGCCGACGTGGTCGGACACGGTTGCTGAAAGCGCTTCTCGTTCAGAGGAACGGTTTCCAGGATTCTGTTTACCGAGAAAAAGAAACGCTACGCGTGTTTGCAAGAAGACGGCACGGTGACGACGCCCGGCATATTCACTGCGAGGGCGGACGTCGAACCCATGTTGGTCGAGCTGGACAAGATGGCAACGCGACCAGTGTCGAGCCGTAAATCTCTGCATCGACACATTCGAACGCTGCGTACGCAAACTGTGAATTTGTGAAAACAATGTCAGGAACCAAAAATATGTAAAAAAAAAAAAAAAAAAAAAACCTAATTTATAGCTTCCGTACGTGCTGCGCGCATAAAAATTCGCACGCGTAGTGGAAATTAAAAAAAAAATTTAAATGCTCAAAATGGCCTGAAACTTGCTCTAATTTAGTCAAAACGTGATTTTGAGAATTTTGAAATTTTGACACAAACGTTATGACGCGCACGTGAGCTATTTCGGTAGGTGACATTCAACCTTGACCTGAGTTGATGCCATCTGAATATGATTCATTAATGACAATTGGTAAGGACGATATGATAAATATTGTAAAAACAAAAAATTGCGCGTACATGACGTCACGCATGACTGAGGACGTTGAAAACCTTCTCCGTTTTAGTTTTTAGTTTCAGCATGTTCAACATCCAGAGATCGATCGTGTTTACGTTCTGGAGACCACTACGAGTAAATACCATGTTT